TACCATTCCGTGGGGATGTGAGGCTGGTTTTTCTTTCCTCAGCAGCAATCACATCATCTCCCTTAAACTCTCTATAAACCTCAATTTTTGTTAATACTTGAATGAAACTTTCAACCAAAATTTGTTCAGTCGATCTTACGCTTAACAAAATTTTATGGAAATGAATTTCATACTATCAAATCAGTCATCAATAAAGATTCGAATGAGCAGCGAGAAATATTAAAAACGCTAGAACAAATATCTTCTTCTCGATTCAAAAGCTTACTTTACCAATACAGAGTACGTCTCCTATCACTTCATCAGACATGGGAATGCTCTCTCAACTCATTTGCTCTATAATGGCAAAGAACGTGTACTCCATGGTAAAACAATTTATATCCTCTTCATTCATCGTTATTCTTAGAAATAGAATAATTCGTTTTCTATCATTGTTTAAATAGAACAGAACTTCGTAAAAATAGAACCCATTCTCGCTAATTTTATTATTTCAATATACGCGTTTACTTCTGTTGTGGAACAATACTGTAGACTTTAATTTTCATTTCTGAAAACTTTTAATTCATTGGAGTAACACTTTTTTCTCACTTCTAGCACTTGAATTGTGTTTATTGCTTCGATTGTTCTGAACATTAAGACGATGATATATGATTATTACTTTGTACATACTTTTTACGGAACCTTTTATTAACCGATAGTATCACTAATGTTTTCGATACATTAAAAATTTGATGCGTAATTCAATAACAGAGGAGATGTCGCCATTTCTTAGTTCATTGAACTACTTTACTTGACATGCTATCTCATGGTTTTCAAAGAAATATGTGACAACGAAAATTTTCTTTTATAAAGCTATAAGAACATATTTTTGATAAATTTCATGTTCAAATAGGCGTACAAAAGAAATTTAAGTGATTTAAGACAAAAATGTTAATATTATACTTGGAGCATCACAAAAGACTATTTTTTATTTTCGGGGCAAAAGCGATAATCAAAGATGTTTCTCTAAACCTACCAACATCCATACTCTCTATGTGTTTTTTATAAGAAGGTCGCATCTTCAATCTGAACACAAAATTGTCCAGATATTTCATTATCACGATACTAATTATTAGTTTGCTTGAATTCAGTATGAAAAAAGCTTTCATTGAAAAAATTGTTCGATTGCTGGTAGATCTGCATCTATCGATAGGTCGATATTTAATTAAAGCGCCTAATCCATCTAAGAGAATGAATCAAGAATAAACATCATTTTCTATACAAAATGGAAATGGATACAAGACTAGTATATTCAAATCTGGCTGGCTAAAAGTCGATGTAAAACTATGTGAATGTACGTGGAATCACTAACCTTAAACAATGACCGATGTGTCTAGAGTTTCATTTACTTATGAAATCATTCAATCATGTTTCGAATTTTATTTTTACATTATTAGATCGGGATCTTTTCTCAGTGAGATAAATGAAAAAAAAACTTCTTTACACCCATGTAATACAGATCTTTAAAAAATCTCTATTTGTTTATTCTTTCTAAGAAAAAAAAAGAAAAAGATCGAAGTTCCTACTGTATGAATGAACTGTAACAGCACTGAATAATTATCACTAGTTCTTGTTAATACTGAAAATATTGACAAATTAAACTTTATTGTCGCATTTTCAAGTTTGGCACTAGAGTACGACTAAGCGCATTTCATTGCTGCCTGGAAGAACTTTTGAATTATATCATTTAATACTAATCATCATGTTGTTATTCTTTATTTTAATAAAAGACATCATGTTCGTTGACATAAAAACTTTCGACCTGCACTCTCAATCAAAGTAATCACAGCTTTTCTGTATAGTACTCCTCCACTTAACGTATTCATATAAAATGGCATTACAGAAGCAAAATTAGAAAGAAACACAAAAGCATTTAGAAGAAACGGATCGATGGCATTTTGTAACGGTGTTTTGACTCTTGTTGAAGTAATGGTTGTATAACATTTTTGTATGATTAATGGGACAGTGAAAAAAACAATGAGAAGCACTTGAATCAACAGCATTTGCAATAGGGGACGATCCATTTTCTTGCGCACATTGTCTTGTCCCATCGAGATAGTTGCAGTTTGTGGAACAGTGTTAGTAATGTGATTAGTATCGACCATCTGTACATGAAAGTGTGCTCAACGTATATTCAATATAATCAATAAGCTAAATATGATCATGAATAGCAATGGAATTACATGAGCTCCCAGCATATAGGTTAGATCAGATAGAAGACGACATATTACTGTACTAACAAAGCATCGCTGGGAAGTATTGATGAGACTAGCTTCATAACAATAAAGATGATGTCCTTGAATGACCATAGAAAATATTACAACGATAACTGTGCCACGTTGTGCATTTTTTAGCGTACTTTTTCTTCGGCGGTTGGCATCAGAGTTTCATGAAAACCAGCGATCAATAGTAGCCAATGCCTTAAGCCAAAAGGCACATGTAACCGAACGGAACAGAAGGAAGGTACGAAATTTACAGAGAAAGTGTTTGTGCTTGAAAGATCCATACCCCAAGTGGATAAGAAGCGAGGCAAAAGACTTGAACAAATCGCAATGAAATGAGCGACTGATGAGAAAAGAAACAATCATGTACAAGGATTGAAACGCAAACTTCGTTGCGATAGAGCTAATACATTGGCAATATTGCCAAAGAAACCGAGAATAAAAATCAAAATGATACAATAACGATTGAGTTGCTGAGAAGTATATTGAAGTGTAGCAATGAGATTGATGTCTGATGATGATATTGATGACATTTCAATGTTCAATGATAAAGCCAGATAATGTTTCTTAGAACTCTAGAAAGAATAGACATACGAGTGACATTCTTGCGTTTGTTTTTTGCATTTCCTTCATTAGAATATTCTCCACGAAAGTGACATCTTAATACAAACACATATTTATTATACTTAGGGCATACCAAAAGTGATTGACAGGTTAGTTTCATTGTGTATTGAACACTTTCTTTCTGTATCGACTGATAGAAATATGAATGATTTTTATTCTTTTGTGATATATTACCATATTTCTGTTAGTATTACAATATTAAATATTCAACAGTGACTTACGTGTCATGATATATACTGATCACACTCTAAAATGCTGTATTGTCGAAAACCGATCAAAATAAGCTTTTGAAGATTCAGAGACACGGAAACAGCTTTCCAAATCCATGCTGACAGCATGAATAAGAATTCTACTCAACATATTAAGTCAATTTGCTGGTCAATACTCTGAAAACATCAATTTTTGCAGTATATTTTTCTAGCACAAGAAAGAAATTTTTCCGACATTGAGGACACTAATTCAACACACTTGGTAGATAATATTAGAAAGAGTTAAAATGCGCAATTCGATGGACTTTTATTTTCTCTTCCTAACAATGACAATCGTAGCTTTCTGTCTCTTTCTGCTATCGGAAATTATTTAAAAAGTATCTATTTGTCGTTTCTCCATTACGGTGATCGGCATGCATCGGAAGCAACATTTATGTGTCGAGATTTTACGATAGGGAATTATTTTTACTATCGCAACATAAAAACAAAGAAAGTTCTGTTCGGTTTTCTAGATAGAATGAGGTCAATGCAGTCACTAGTAATGGTATGTCCTCAATGATTCAAAGATTTTATGGTATGCGGAAAATATGTAGTTACGTGTAACTGGGTTAGGAACCAAACTACAACAAGCAGTCTATAAGATGTCACTATAAATGCGTCATTTATTAATTCAATGACATGAGAAATTAATCCAAAAAATAACTTTATCTAAGAAAAGAATCTTATCTAAAACATTTTATCATTAAAAATTAATTGCAATTGAAAAGCGGATTTCGTATAATTGAATTTTATCTGAATAAAAAAAGGTAAATATTATCATGAGACACTTTGCTTCGTGGATTAGTTGATAAAGAAATGCGCTGTAAATGTTTTCGAATTTCATTTCAATAGTCCCGTTCATTGAAAAATTTGTTTTGGTTAAAATAAAGTGCTTAAAACTCTGCAGAAAATGGTAATACATTTTCTTCGTTTTGTTTTACTGAACGATAATCCTACAAGAAAATCAGCTATCATGAGAAAAGTTTTTCTTATCTATTTTTTCCGAGAGAGCATTTTATTTCATGCATAAATATTATCTTTCTTGTTAAATGGTTCCTATTCATAATTTCCATATGTTCATTCCATAAACTATATATTATGCACAAAATCATGTACATTTGAAATATGAATAGGAAGAAGGTAGACAATAAATGTTTTGTTCATGAAGAGCAACACAGTTTTCGATTAAAACAATGATAGATGTCAACAGGAATTAGAAATATCGGAGAATTCTGCAAGATTGAACTACCAAAGATGGATGATAGTTAAATAAAAATCTCTAAATAGATTTGAGATGCGGTAACAAAACGTTAAGAAATAATTGAAGATATCAGGAAGAAGATGCAAAATCACAAAAAGCATAATCTAAGCCAAAAAATGGTTTGCTGATTATTTTCATATACTCAGTTTAAGTGTCTGCGGTCATCAAATTCATCTTATTTATGCTCGTAAGATTAGAGTAGATGAAATGAATTGGCCCAAGCTATAAACTCGAATCACCTAACAGCAATAGTAACATTCATAGATGAAATAATACAATGTTCTGTCGAAGAACTTAAAAATGAAAAATCTCACATTCTGTACTTAATTTTATTGCACTATTATGCTGAATTCAAAAGTCAGAAAAGAAAACTTTATGCTCTAAATAAAATCTATTATTTAGCTACTCTAGCAGCATATTTTGTGAAACACGATCTAAAAGGAGTGTTGAAGTGTATAGGGGTAGAAATTTGCACCCACTACCCCCGCAACGCCTCCCCCCTCACAGACGTGACAGACAGCCTTATACAAGCCACCGACTGTGATAGAAGACTTTCAGCAACTATCAGATAATGTGTAACTAACATATGATTAGAGCATATATGGAATATTATCCTGTTTGAACTATATAATGTGAAGTAATCCATGGTGAAGAAATATCCCATGTCCTTTGAATCGGCTAAAAATTGCCGATTAATCCCGATTCATCGAAACGATAATCGTGAGCTGAATCGCGATAGAATCGCCGATTATTCCCGATTATTTCAGCGATTTTTACGATAAATCGTGATTTTATGCAAGATTTAACCGTCTGTTTACTGATATTTTCTACTATTTCATTGGTTCTTTTGGAGACACATATTTGGATTTTTTCTTTCATTTAACTCAATTTGTTTTGTTCTCAAGATCCAAGCCGATCAGATCGTGCGATCTGTCCGATCTCGAGCTGGTCCGATTCTTCTCAGACTGCTTCAGTGTAGTCCTCTCCAGATCATGGATCGGGATTGGCATTTCCTTGATTAAAAATAACCAAGAAATAATTTATCAGAAAAGTATATTTCGAAAACTTATTTGTTATGCATTGAACGGCGTTGTTTATATATCCGTGTGTGTTCATAACAAAACGGTGAATGAATAATTGTCATGATTTATCAATGATTTTTGAAAATCAGCTCTTCTCCCATAATCGCGATAAAATCTGATATAATCGTCGATCTTTTAAAGAAATACGATAAATCACGATTTTACGCCAATTTTTTAGAAAATCGTGAAAATCGCGGTGATTCTCACGACATGGGATACCCCAGCATATATTAAAAAGAACAGTTTTTAAAAGATTTGAAACAGCAGTAACATCGTGTTTCACATTTTTAATCCCGCAAGGGGTTGCGCTAACAGCTTTTTTTATGAGTCCTCCCGTACCAATCAAAAAGTAAAAGCATTTCATAGTACCCCCCCCCCCCCCCCCCGATAATAGAAGCCCCCGGGGGCTTCTAAACTGTCCAGCGTCCAAAATTTTCGGAGGGGGCTTCTATTATATCCCACGATTTTTCAAAGATTTCAGGTACCAAAGTTTTTCAAAAGCCTTAAGGAGATTTTCAGAGTTTTTACGGGTTTTTCGCAGGATTTTCAAGGAAATTTCGAGATTTTAATACTGACAACCAAGAATTGAGTACATTTTTACCTTAAAACCTTGTAATTTTTAAAGTTTCACTATGAAAACACAAATAAAAGTTTCCAAAAAACTTTCGAAAAGTTTTTAAAATGAGGGGGCTTCTAATATGTCTGGGAAGTCGACTCCTCCATGGGGGGGCTTCTAATATGGGAGGGGGTTCTATTATGGGGGGGGGGGGGGGTATGATTTAATTTCATGTATTCAGATAAAAATATAGTTACAAAGAAACTATTTTAAATTGAATGAACTTTTGAAATTAAAATATTTAAGATGAAATTATCTCGTGAGACGAATTAACCTTATTTACTAAGACATCATCTCATTTGACTACTAAATGAGATATTTATAATAGCATCTTACAGAATATTCTTTATGTTTTCAATTACTTCATTTAAAGAGAGATCATTCATCAACATTGATTTGCTTTGTTTTATTAGGAATGTTAAAAATTGTGTCAACCATCTGGTTTTTTCTGGATCAATGAAACTGATAACAATGTTTTTCAAAGAGACTAGATCGTTCAAACGGATCAGCTAGAAGACTCAGTTCTACTTTGAGGACTAGAGAAGCTAATGAATACGACTACAATGCCACTATTGTGAGTATGCTTAGTTTATATGAAAAGATCTAAACATTGTGCCTCCTTCACCTCAACTGAAAATCCTGACTTCATCACTGTGACATTAATTTAATCACTAATTGTAAATGCTTTTGAAGAGAAGAAACAAAGTCAAAGTTCATTGTTGATTTCTTATTTGTTCATGAAATGCAAAAAGTTAATATCGATCATCAAATGAGCTTAAAACATCTCAATATTCATTTTGAGAGCTGTCATATCTCTTATAGACGTCGAAGAAGGGTGTGGGTGTGTGGGTGTGGGTGTGGGTGGATGTAGGTGTGGGTGTGTGGGGTGGATGTGGGGGTGGGGGTGGGGGTGGGTGGGTGTGGATGTGGATGTTGGTATTCATTTCACACACCCACACCCCACCCACATCCAAATCCAGAACGATGATACTCTATGCACGGAATTAATTTCTGGCTATTCGTGTTCAAGTAAGAGTATTTATCTGTTTCTTCAACAGGAAGTTTGAAGAATATTATCACTAATTCTCACTTCCAAAAGAAACTTGGCCATCCAAAATTCGTCCTTTAAAGGGTTAATTTTATTGTAATGGCAGTGGACTATAATTGAATTCGAACGATGACTAGTGTTCATATAATATGGCATTTCATCTGACCTGAAATGAAATCTATGTTATATGTATCATTTGATCGCACGATATATCATTTTGACAAGAAATAACGAAGCAATAGAACGAGAAAAGGATTAATATGCTTTTATTGATCAAAATCAATTTATCGTTTGAACAATTTCTTTTCGAGAACAAAAAATGGAGTTTCAAAAAAGATTACAACGACAACAGCTGCAACATAGCTGAAGAATAAATTCGCAATGTAAGCGTTAACTATTGTATGTGGTTGAACGAACATAGGTGTTGTCTGATTATAGATAGTTATAAAAATAATCATCAAATGAATAAGATACGTCGAATAATTAAGACGAGCTAGAGGAGTCCAAATTGGCCATGAAAGAATCGTATTAACTATTCCACCTTGATTGGTACTACACAAAAAGATAAGCCAACCGATGACTAGTGCCCAGCATGGGCGAGAAAGTGTATGATAAGCAATAAGGGTCGACCGATTAAGACCTGGTACGCGAACATAATCAGGGTATATTACAAAGATACAGGTTAAGCCAAGTATGGTAGCCAGAAGACTTCCAAATATTTTTGTATAGATATTCGAACGATACGAACGACCAGTACTGATGACAATAAAACCAGTCAGAAGACCAATAGCATAAGCGGATATGCGACCCCACGGTTTAATGTAGATTTCGGTAAAGTAGGTAACACCGACATATAAATGAAAGATTAAACACACTATTAGTATCACTTGAAAAATTGCAAAAAGTTAAACTTACTGCTTGCAAGAGGCCTGTTATAGCGTTCAGATTCATATTAGGATAATGCAGAAGAATGCCTACCACTGACCCAATACTAACGAGAACGAATAGAATGGCCACAATAAATGCAATGGACTTTCGACCAATGACAAATGGTATGAGAGCAAGTGGTGCAATCCAATGAAACTGCATATCATTGTCAAGATACCACGAAACAGACAAGCACGTGTCATCGGATTTAAATAGATTAGCAATGTAAAGAACAGATCTCCACCAACCACGATGACTACAACCATCAGTTTCAAATCCTTGTTTGGACGGATAGAGAGGTCCACGACCGAAGTATGGCGTCAAATTAATGCTCACAAGAATGACAAGAACAAAGGTCGGTGTAAGACGAATATATCGATGAATATAATAAAGAATAAATAGACGAAATGTAAGTTTTTCTTTGGTGATTTGTCTAACAAAGAGAACTGCTGTTAAAAATCCGCTGAGAACAAAAAAGGTGTCCACACTGAAGAGACCACTGACAATCAATTGAAATGCTATATTCTGAGACCAAGCAAGCGCATCGACAGAATTGCTTGCATAGTTTGAGTTAAAAACAAATGTATGACCAAAGATCACCCAGAAAAGTGAAAGTACACGAACACCGTTGAGAAAATCAAATGAGTCACTATTGTTTTTCATTTCCATTGTAAATATGCGACGTAATGTACGTACAGCCGAAAATTGCGCAATGAATACTGCTGCTTGAGGTGTTGTATCGAGTAGAGCTTTCATACGAAAATGTGGATGTCGTCGCAAGGTCACCGATTTAATCTCGGGTAATTCTGTAGCCGATATTTTATTGTGTCCGTTTATATCCGAAGTAATATGAGTGCCTGATACAAGACGAGAAGCAAGAACAAGATCGATGATAGTACCGACTAGGACGAGAAGACCGAGTAGAGAGAGAACAACACATGTGGCTATCGCACCGCGTGATAAACTCTTCTGTTTACTGGCATCATCATTCGAACAATGTACGTGTTCTTCGGCAATATTGCTGTTATTGAATAGACTTTGAACTAATGAAAGAATGGATTGACGATTACATGAAGAAGGTGCACAAATCCCAAGAAAAAGTGGGCGAGTCAATATTTGTGGTGGTATAATACCGCTTAGAAGTAGAGAACCTAAAAAAACATTCTCTCTCGATTTTATACATTCATAAAGCGAATAACATATACTTACAGTATTGACCATCGAACGGCTGTTGTAAGAATGTTTTGTTCTCAGGTTGATATAATGAGTCGAGACATTCATCGTAATTACCTACCCACCATCTATTTCCTTTGAGTAAACCAGATGGTACAGGCTTACCCCATGCATCTAAGATTTTGAGTGCCCAAAGCTCACGATTTACAGCTGCCTCGAACAAGAGTAGAAAGTCCTGGTCGCATTTAGTTGTCGTATTACTGTTAGAAGATGCTGAGAAAGATGCCAGCATCTCAGCAGGTGTAATACTGTATGACAGACGGTCAATCTCGTGAAGTATGAATTGTTGATGCTGAAGTAGTTGATCGATAGCTACATCGAAACGAAGTGGCACGGTTCGGTATTCTCTTTGAGAAACGATGTTCGGTAGTGAAACAAGAAAGAATAGCACGACAGAAAGCATTGCAAATATATTTTTGTTTATCAGATGTATGGCGTATGTCTTATGTCAGTGTGATAATACGAAAAAGAACAAGTTTATAAATCACTTCATTTCTGATGATAAAAGTCGATCCAATTTCGGTGTTCTTATCTTTTCACGATGTCACATAGTAACTCGTACTAATATCATTCGTTCGATATATATAAGCATTTATTTAATAAATATTAGTGAGTTTTAGTAAAGCCCTCGACGCATTAGAAGATCCGGAGACTTCTATTCGAAACAAAAAATCCTAATTTAAACTCTTTTTTGTCCAATACACCATTAGCAAACGAGTTTATTTTACCTATCACACGCTCGTACAATGAAAAAGAAACGGATAATGTTTTAATGTGAAAACAAGAAAACAATTGTTGGTTAGAAGACTGTTCTTGAAACAATATAGACAGCATACCCTATAATTTTGGTGCGATTTATAATAGCACTATTTTTTTATAAGGAATGCGATCTATCACTGGTGATATTTATGCCCTATATAGCTACACCCTCGGACAAAAGCCTGCTCCCCTCTTTATTTCTATACTATCATACTTTGCATCAAATTTATTACCAAGCAAAGGTACGACATAAGAGTTTTATTTCAGTATGATTTGTATCGTATTGAAATAAAACTCTAATGTCGTATCTTTACTCTGCAATAAATTTGATGCAAAGCATGATAGTATAGAAGCAAAGAGGAGAAAAGACTTTTGTTTCGCGGTGTAAATATCTTAAAGAAAGAAAATTAAACCTTTTTCTGTCAAAGTTATTTAAGTTAGTTGTTTAGATTGATGATTGGCTCGTATCAAGAGAATTGGTTATTGAGGGTGGATGAGAGTGATGATGAGATTAGGAAATAAAATATATTCAAAGCATTATACGAGATGTTTCGTCTGTTGCTCAGGGAGTCCTCATCAGGCATGTGATGAATCTATTAAATACATAGAAATTTTTTTTTATTATGCTAAAAAAACTGTGATCCTAAGATCCTATCAGTACATATGAGTAGACAAAGAAGGAATAATGAGAGATAACAAAAACAACAACAACAAAAAACAAAAGAAAAGAAAAGAAAAGAAAATCATAACAAGTCGTATAACACAACAGTGAGGTCTACAAGAAAAAAATTAACACAGAGAAGCAAAAGATTCTGGAAAATCCTCAAGG